ACAGAACAGATGTAGTGTTAAGAACATCAATAAAAGTTTATTTCATGCTATCTGATCCACTTTTCATTTTTCTGTTTGAATTTTATTATGCATAACCTATTAAACATAGTAAAATTAATAGCATCATCATGCCTTATTTTAAAAATTATAGCAGTAACTTACAACATATTTTAGTTGTCTTCATAGATCATTTTTTTAAACTTTTAAATGTCCATTAAGTCTGGTTAATGGACATCTGAAATGATACAAATGTTTAATTCACACAATACTTTTTAAGATACTTATTGCACATGAATAATGTTATTTGCAGAAATAATGTACTTTAGAATAATATTAGGTTAGAAATAGAATAGGAAGAACCTCAGAGATGCAATGAAATACTCATTTTACCAACAAGGACACAGATGTCCACATGCCTCTTGGTGCCCAAAGTCACAAAGTACAGATTTACTTTCATTTTTCACAGTTCCACATTTCTTCTGTTCTTGTATCAAATCCAATATGTTATTATACATGATACTTAAGAAGTCCCACACAGCCAAAGAAATTTCTACTGACTGCTTGCATTTGATTAAATTTAGCCCAGAATATTCTGCCTGCTGTCCAGCACTGCTGTCCTATTGCCAATTATCTTACAGACTGTCTCTGCCTTCACATAGGCTAACATTATTTCCTTTGTATTTCAGTTATCAAAATTTCTGGGATGATTATCTTTCAATGATTCGAAACATATTTAAGACATGTCCTCTCTGTAAAAGGTGTTACATTACTCAATTGTATTTAATCAATATTGCTGAGATGACCTCATTTTCCTCAGTGACCACACCCAAAGAGAGGGATAGATTAAAGACATCAATTGTGAGTTGCTCAATAAATTATCCTATACTGAATTCTTTCCATATGTCAGGAATTGTGTTAGGTACTTCCTATATTTTTACCACATCATTTACACATAGGTAATATCATATCCTTTTCACAGATGAGGAAATCAAGGCTGAGGGAGGTTAAATAGTGTATCCAAGCCCTTTACCCAGTAAGTGTCAGAACATCAACTCAAACCCAAGTCTTGCCCTAGAGCAGCAATTTTCAAGTGGCATGCCGAAAGGATTTTAAAACATGCAACACCTGACTACTTGGCCGGGGGCACTGACCTCTTTTAGATTGTCAAATAAAATAATGACAACAGCCAAAACAAAATAGCTCTCCGGTGTAAATGCCCTGTCTTGAACCATAAATCTATAGGTCATATAATAGAGTTGCATCTTATTGGTCACATCGCATAATAAGGTTACGCAATTAGATTGGTTAATCCTTGGTACCAGAAATCCTTACAAGTATGGGCACCCGATTTTTTTAAAAGCCACCATTGGGTAAAAAGGGTAATTACTATTGTTATATTTTTGTAAACCAATCAAAATTATACCTATGTTTTGTCAGATTGGCAAAAAATATAGTAATTTTAGTAATTAGTTTGTGCGTGTCATGAGAGAAAAGAGGTTGAAAATCGCTGTTCTAGAGTTCTGCTCTTCACAATAAGTCATGTTACTTGTCTTTCTCAGTAGTGATATCTGAGACAAAAGAATTGAAATTGAAAATGGACAGAAACGTTTGATAAAAGAGATGACTTAGTCTTCTGATGTAAGAGAACTGTCTTAACATTTGGAAAGACCTTGAGACCCATGTGGCAGAAACTCTAGGCATTTGGTGGCTCTGATGATTTTCTAGCCTAAAAACCCTTACCCCACATCTGAGGGGTTCTTCAAATCAGTCCAGCCAGACTAAAGACCTTAAGACAGCGATTCTCAACCTGTGGGTCGCGACCCCTTTGGGGGTCGAACGACCCTTTCACAGGGGTCGCCTAAGACCATCGGAAAACACATATTGAATATATAATCGCATATTGTTTTTGTGATTAATCACTATGCTTTAATTATGTTTAATCTGTAACAATGAAAATACATCCTGCATATCAGATATTTACATGACGATTCATAACAGTAGCAAAATTACAGTTATGAAGTAGCAACGAAAATAATTTTATGGTTGGGGGTCACCACAACATGAGGAACTGTATTAAAGGGTCGAGGCATTAGGAAGGTTGAGAACCACTGCCTTAGGACCTTAAGCAATCTGAGTCTTATGGGTGATACCTAGAGTAGAAATATTTCATCAGGGTGGGAGAGGGGGTTAGAATCTCATGAAATGTGCCACAATCATTTCCTTCCTTTAATATGAAGAAAAACTAACAATCAAAACACTTCATTATGTCTAATAGGTGCTTTTATATAGCCATTAGTCAGTGCTTTCTCTCGATTTGTTATAATCTCTCACTAATCTTCTAGCTTTCATTTTTTTTCTTTTCTTTTTATTTTTTAAATTATCTTTATTGTTGAAAGTATTACAGGTGGCCTCATTTTTTTTCCCTCATCGACCCCTTCAATTCCCCCCTTCCCCGACCCAGGTCTTCACTACACTATTTCCTGTGTCTATGGGTTATGCATATATGCATACAAGTTCTTTGGTTGATATCTCCCCATCCACCCACCCTGCCCCGCCTTCCCTCTGAGCTTCCTCAGTCTGCTCCATGTTTCTATGTCTCTGCATGTGTAGGAAAAGCATGAAGAGAAATTTATTTCCACAGTGTATGTAATAGAAGAGGGTGGGAGAATGAGCAGGTACAAGAGTTCACGGGAGGATCCAAGGGAACAGCAGATGCCTTTCATGACAAGGCAGGAAGGAATGAAGAGACCCGTGAAAGTAGTTACAGTATTTGCGTCCCCTGCCACTGCAAACTTTGACAGGGTGGTGGTCAACTGTGATATTGAGATGTGCCACGGACAAGGTGACACCTAGGACAGATCAGGGTAGTTAACCGTTGGTCTCACATAAAGCAAGACGAAGAAAGTGTCTCAGCTGAAACTGCTAGAAGGTGGACTCATTGCTGAAGGGGAAAGAAATGGATATTAAACTGAGATAGGATTAAAATGTGCACATTGTTGGCAAGTTTATGGTCAGAGTCCCAGAAAAGTGGAGCAAGGGCACCCCAAGTGCACTTGGGCCAAGATCATCAATGGTGCTGTATGAGGTGGACAGGATTGCATTCTGAAGTTCTCCAGGAGGGCTCCTCACCTACATGCAGCTTTTAAATCGATCATGCATTATTTCCCATTTCAACATTGGAATATAACTTTGTTGTAAGTATGTTTGTTCTAGAAGGAGGATGTATATGCCACCCTAGAAATATTCATGAGCATAATTATGTCAGAAAACTCATGACATCTCATATATTTGTTTGTCCCGTTAAATTGTATAATTTATATGAAAAATCAAAATATTGGAAATAATGACATTTATCTCTGTTACAGAATTTAAAGAAGGATATGTCTTCCTTTTGTATCTGTGATCATTTTTATTTTGGTAAGTTGATATAAAGCACGTGACATTTTAAAAATTAGATCATGTTTTCCAAATTGAGGGAACTTAGATTTCAGTGTTGTTTTAACTTGTTCAATGCAACAGACTTCAAGTTTACAGTTCTGCTTAATAGCGTCTTATAACTTATTTTTAAAGTACTAATTATGTTTCACGGTATCTGCAATTATCATGATTTCGGAATAAATGATTATGAAACACATATAGGTCAGATTTTATAGCATTCTCTCAAGAAAAGTAACACCAAGTGTAACACCTCAGGAAGAATAAAGCATGTTTAAGAGAATTTCCTTTCCTAGATTACATAAGAATATCCTATTTCCCATTTTGCTTTTTTTCCCCTTAGTTCATTTTTACTGATTTAACTGGAAAAACTGAATGAGACATTTCATAAGTTTTAGAAGTAAAATAAGGTATTCACCTAACTTTGAAGACTGGTCAACTAACCCAAATAGAAGTTTTTAGGTTTCAAATCAATTAACATTAATTGCAGCTGCCATGTTATGCTAGGCCCTATGGGAAGATGTCCATTAAGATTCTCTGAAAAATAATTTGTTAAAGTAAAAATATTTAAGGCCATTCTATGGGGAACTTGGTCTGTGGCTTCAAAATCAAATAATCTTTTTTTTTTTTTTTAGTAGTGAAAAGAGAGCACAGTGGGAATTCTACACTTAATGAGTCTCATTCACTAAGCTATTGATTTTTGTCAATGTTTAATGGGTGTCCAATCAATGTGAGATCCGCAAAGACATAGCTCAAATGAACTCATGGTATGCTTACATGCAAAATGAAAAGGAAGCTAATGAATAAGTGTGTTTTAATTAGTTTTTTTCTAAAAACAATAGTAATAACCAGTGTTTATAAAATTTAAATACATTTAGAACTGACACCAAAAAATAAAATGTTTTTGAAGTGTTTAGCTATTTTCAGCAAACCACAAAAGTATTACCTACTGATTTTATTCCATTCCTAGTTTTACTTCTATTTCTGATAATGCAAATAATGTGTTCCTAATCAAAATAGAGAGAATCAGTTCAACACTAAATATTGTTTGTTTAAAAAAAAACCTAAAGATTTTTTCCTTTAAAAAAATTTACTAAAATGCAGAATATCATAATTCTCCAATCAGAAACAATATGTCAAGCCACCGTAAAGCTGATTGGCTTCTTCAAGCACAGAAGATATGGTTTTTAAATGAAAAGCTAATTATCACACTCAAAAAGACTACCCTGGTATGTTATGTTAAAATGATGTGTAAGCTACACTACTACTATAGATATGTTAATTTTGAGCTGTAAACAGATGCAAAAGCAAATCCTGCCATAAAAAACCCCAGGCAAATTCTCCTTCCATCTGCACAAAATACACAATATCACTTTAAGAAGTTGAAATCAAATAAAGACAGGACCCTCAGACCCTCCTGGGGAACAAATTCCCCGGCAAAGTAAATTACACTCATCCTTTCATCCCAGGAACTGGCAGCACCTACCAGACCTGCTTAATGACAGGACCAGAATAATCACAGGAAAACGCTGCACACACACCAGCAGCCCTGTTTCCTAGCCTACCTTTGTGGTGACAATGCACAGGCAATCCATCCTGGATCCCTACACAGGGCTCAGTGCATGGAAATCACACCAGCAAATCAGCCAAGGTGAGAAAAGCCGTGTGGTCAATGGCACACAGAGAAGCAGAGCCTGGATTCAGCACTGACGGCTCTTCCAAGGGGGGCCCCTCACGGGAAGGTCGAGCCCTCCTCCATACAGCTCAAGGCAAGCCGGGTTCTCCTAGGCACCGGAAAAGCCCCTAGCAATCAGCTCCGGCAAAACTTCCAGGTGGCTCGCGGGGCTCCGCGGCTGCATGTCTTTTAGCGAATTCCGTGATCAGTACCAGCCTCCCGCGAGTGCCTCGCACCGCTTGAGCGCGGCGGTGAGTGTTACACGGAGCAACAGAGAATCACATTTCAGCTCTCGTTCTTGTTTCTGAATTCGGATCTGCTGCTTCGGTACACACATGAGATCTCCCGTGCCGGAGTCCCCCCTTTGGCTGCCTTCCTCTTCCTGACTAACAACTCTGAATAAGCACCACACACAAAAACTGCCCGGCCCATCGATCAAAGGGCTGTCGTTCTGCTGCCAGAATAGCGGCTTTGGGTAATAAAAAGCTATTTGTTATGAGCATGATTCCAGGGAGTCTCAATGAATGGAGAGATAGGACTGAAAGAAACGCTAAGGTGCACGGGGTGCTGCATACATCGCGTCTCAACTCGCTTGCAATTACAAGGGCAGCTTCTTACAAATGACTAACAGCTGGAGAAAGGGAAATCGGGCCAGGGGACTTTTATTTAAAAGAAAAGAAAAACACAAAACTGCGGATTTGGAGCTTGTACTTAGAAAACATGAGCTTTCTTCTTTTCTCTGTGTACCTAGTTGTGTGGTTGATGACGCAGGCAAATACACACACAACCTGAATATCCGGACAAAACGGTTTATTAAAAATTTAAGGTAGGAGGAGAGCCCAGAGTGTTTACAAAAGTTCCACATTCAGAGAGACAGAAAGCTGAGTTCTTTCCCAAACTTTTCTCTCCTCGCTGGCTGCCTGCAGGCACTTCTTACGTGGGCAGAGCGCTGTGCTCCCTCTGCAGCATTTTGCCAGGCAAATGACTGACTGTCCCCCTTCCCTCCAAACCCTCCCTTTCTTCCAGGGAAACTGCCACATAAACTGCCTTTGAGGGGCTTGACAAGCATCACTGTGGGTAATAATACACTTGTTTTTCATTGTCTTAGACGCATAGGCAGAGACAGACTAAAACAGATACATAGAAAGAAACAGGGGTGCAGACAGAAGGAAGGATGAGAGAGCTAAAGTGAACAACATGATGAAAAGCCCTGCCTGACCAATAAAAATGGAAAATCAATGCGGCCTTTTCACTAGAAAGAAAACAGAAGAAATGCCCACCCTGGCCAGGTAGCTCAGTTGGTTAGAGCATCGTCCCAATTCACCCACATGTGGATTCCATCTCCCAACAGGGCATGTACAAGAATCAACCAATGATGTATAAATAACTGGAAGAATGAATGGGTGTTTTTCTCTCTTCCAATAAAAATGGAAAATCAATGCGGCCTTTTCACTAGAAAGAAAACAGAAGAAATGCCCACCCTGGCCAGGTAGCTCAGTTGGTTAGAGCATCGTCCCAATTCACCCACATGTGGATTCCATCTCCCAACAGGGCATGTACAAGAATCAACCAATGATGTATAAATAACTGGAAGAATGAATGGGTGTTTTTCTCTCTTTAATAAAAATAAATAACTTTCTTCTAAAGAAGAAATGTTCAGGGACCCATACATTGTGTTAGCGCTTTAAGATTCCAGTAGAGCCCTAACTGGTTTGGCTCAGCGGATAAAGTGTCGGCCTGCGGACTCAAAGGTCCCAGGTTCAATTTTGGCCAAGGGCATGTACCTTGGTTGTGGGCACATCCCCAGTAGGAGGTGTGCAGGAGGCAGCTGATCGATGTTTCTAACTCCCTATGCCTCTCCTTTCCTCTCTGTGAAAAATCAATAAAATATATTTTTTTAAAAAAAGGGTTCCAGTAGAACCCTTTCCCCCCCCGACCCCCGCAAAGTATTTTGCACAATGAACAACTTTTTAAAAGAGGATAGACATGTAAAACTCCTCTACTTTTCATGAATTATCTAGGTTCTAACCTCAATATCTTCCTGATTGCTAAATAGATGAGTGTCTCAGAAACTGACATGGCATTATTTTACCATAAGAGCTGTTTGTAAAGATATAAAAAATAAAAAAGTTCACAGCAAATCAAATGTGTCCAAAGCAAAAAAAAAAAAAAAAGTAGTTCCAAATTTATTTATAGATGAAAAATAATTTCCTCTTTACTGTTATCTTGTTGGAGTAATAAAATTCAGGTAATTTTCAAGTTAAGCAACACCAATAAAACCCATGCTCTGGTCCATTCAATTAGGCAGCTGTCTTATGGTTCAGTACTATTATGAAAAGGTCAAAAAAGCATCATTTTGCCTATTCACTTCTTTATTTATTATATATCACAATAATTTAACATAACGTTTCCTAAGCCTGTCTCAGAGCAGGGATAAATCATGTCCTTGAGCATTGCCAGGTATCAGATTATATTTTGGACACAACCAAAGCAACGGATATAAAATTGATGCTGATTGTCGCATTCATCTTCAAACTAATTAGGCTTTATGTTCCTATAGCACATAGTTGACAAAGCACTTGTAATTTTCTCACCAGCTTGAAAGTTTAAATGACTTCCCAAGGAGAGATAAGTTATTGCAAGTCCAGGGCTTGGTTAGTCATTATCAGAATAGAGACAGTCAGAGATTAGAAAGAAAGAGGCAGTAAATTGGGTAGCAGAGTAAATGGATATTTTAGAAGGTGTCCTTGACAGAAAAATACCTTTGGGAACTAGGTCCCTATATCCTAGTGTGGAGAAAGCTAAAATATGAGCAAACTGGCAGAGGGAGCCTGATTAGTCTTCTGAACCTGGCTGATCACAGATGAAAGCACTTTGTAAACTATAAAGACCTGCAGAAACGAAAGGCAACTCATCTAGTGTAACTCCTGGCATTCCATATACACGCCCTAAGTCAGTGGTTCTCAACCTGTGGGTCGCGACCCCTTTGGGGGTCGAACGACCCTTTCACAGGGGTCGCCTGAGACCATCGGAAAACACATATAAAATTACATATTGTTTTTGTGATGAATCACTATGCTTGAATTATGTTCAATTTGTAACAATGAAAATACATCCTGCATATCAGATATTTACATTACGATTCATAACAGTAGCAAAATTACAGTTCTGAAGTAGCAATGAAAATAATTTTATGGTTGGGGGTCACTACAACATGAGGAACTGTATTAAAGGGTGGCAGCATTAGGAAGGTGGAGAACCACTGCCCTAAGTCATTCATACACCACATGTTTATTCAGAGCTCACTATGTGATTTTTTTTAATTAACGTCTGTATTACCTACTAGACTGTAAGCTCCTTAGTCAGTTTTGACCCTGTATTTCCAGTGCCTCCTCTAGTGTTTCATTCATTCAATAAATAATCTTGAGAATATACTTATATGAGGACACAAGAGTGAGCCCACTCTAGCAGAATCCCTGCCCACAAAGGATTCAACAACTATACCACAGTACAGCAAACACTTGGGGTGTTTAAGACACAAAGTAGAGGCAGTTAAGCCAGAATGTAGTAGTCAGGAGGCATTCTAGAGAAAAACCTTGAGCTAAGAAGGACCCATAGGAATTAGCTAGAAGTTGTGAGGAAGAAGAAATCCATGCATTCTGTTATATTTGACAAATAAGTGAATCAGTATGTTTCATCTTTCTGCCAAAAGCTTACATGAATGAACATATCCAAAGGGCTTTCACTAAATCAAAGCACTTTAGAGCAGGCATTTCACAAACTGAACATGCAATCCCTACTGACTGGAGAAAAAAAAAAGAACATTCATATGACATTAAGTGAGTACAAAGGTGCTGTGGAAGTGTGTAGAAACCATGTGTCCTATAATCATTGGGTTGTATTTACCCACATGATGCATTTGGATAATCTTGGTATCCTATGTAATAAAACACTAATATGCAAATCAACCGAATGGCGGAATGACTAGTCACTATGATGTGCACTGACCACCAGGGGGCAGATGCTCAGCACAGGAGCTGCCCCCTGGTAGTCAGTGAACTCCCATAGGGGGAGCGCCGCTAGGCCAGAAGTCAGGCTCATGGCTGGTGAGCTCAGCGGCTGTGATGGGAGCCTCACAAGCCTCCACTGCAGGCGGGCAGTAAGGAGCAAGGGGTCCCGGACTGCAAGAGCCCCAGGACTGTGAGGGGGATGTCCACCTGCTGGCTTAGGCCCGACCCCCAAAGGGGTCCTGGACTGCAAGAAGACACAGGCTGGGCTGAGGAACACCTGCCCCCCACCCCCCACCCCCACTCCAGTGCATGGATTTTGTGCACCAGACATTTAGCATTTAGATAAAAGTAAGCAGTTAACATTTTAAAGTATAGTTCCCCATAGGATGCAGCTTTCTGCTTTGTGTCTACCTTGCCTTCTACCAATTTTCCTCAGATATAAAGATCAAAAAGATAATCCACTCTTTCACCTCAAGGGAAGTATTCTTTTATTTTTAAAAGTAACAAAGCATTGGCTTGAAGCATTTTTTTATGGACACAGAGCTCAATTGAGCCTGTGATTTTACAAGAAGTGTTTGGCAAGAGAGAAAGCCATACCCTGCACACTCCTTTTCTTGATTCTGCTTCAGGTTAATGATATGAAGCCAGGAAACTATTGATTTGTAGTAAAATCTACCACTGGAAATTTGATATTAGGAAAATTACTATTATAAATTACTTGTACTAAACCTGTACCTTAACCATTTAAGTGTGTTACTTTTGTTTTTTCCAATGGTGGGGGCGGGGTGGAGAATCTCTAGAGTGAAATAGATCCTCTGCTTATTCTCCTAGATTCTAAGTCCCATGAGGGTAGATATAATGTACACTTCTGGCATGTAGCATAGTTTCTGCACTGAAGAGGTACAAAATTGATAGTTTTTGGAATGAAAGAATGATCAGAGCTTCAGTTATATCATTTATTTTTCTTGATAGGAGATTAAAAAACACCTGTGATACACATCTTTTGTCCCTATGAGAACTATGTATGCATATGGTAACTATTATATATTTTATATGTATATATCTATACTAATAAACAGGCAATATGCTAATTAGACCAGGAGACCTTCCGGACAAAGCCATGGTGGTGGGGCCAGGGCAGAGGCAGTTAGGTGCTATCAGGCCAGGAGGGCAGGGTAGTTGGGGGTGATCAGACTAGCGGGGGGGGGGAAGGTGATCAGGCCGGCATGGGAGGGCAGTAGGGGGCGAGCAGGCGGCAGGCAGAATGGTTAGGGGCGATCAGGTAGGCAGGCAGGTGAGTAGTTAGGAGCCAGCGATCCTGGATTGCG